CTCAAAGCCTGGGTACTGTCCTTGAGAATTTTGCTCAAGGCTGGTGCTGTACCACTTGAGCCACCTCTACTTTTGGCTCTGTGTGTGGTGTGTGGTGTGGTGTGTGTGTGTGTGTGTGTGTGTGTGTGTGTGTGTGTGTTTTGCTGGTTAATTGGAAATCAGAGTCTCATGGACTTTTCTTTTTTAAACATTTTATTATTATAATTATCTTTAAGTAGTTGTACAATGAAGTTCCAGTTGTACAATGAAGTTCCCGTTGTACAGAGCAGTATATGAATACAAGGTGTCTGACAACATTGTCACCCATCACTCCTAACCCACCCCATCTCTCACTTTTCTTTATTTTAAATTGAGATTAGGTGATTACACAAATTTCACATATTTCACCATATTGTGGAATAGTGGTACTTAGTTAAAGTCACAAACACATTTTAACCTCCACAAGGCAAATTGTCTTTATCATGTTCCATAAAATTTGTGAATTCTATGAGCTTTGACAATACATTTATTTCTTCTGCATCAGATGATGTTTGCATCTTTCCTTTTGCTTCCTGTAAACTATTCCCTCTTTTCCTCTCATTCTTCCCTTCCCATCGCTGTCTTTGGGTTTCTTAGTTCTTAATTCTTTTTCTTCTATGTCCAGTGCAGCTGAGAGGCCCCTTTGTTGTATGGTATTCTGTTTCCCACTGCATCTTCCTCCTGGCTTCCCTTCTTTACACACACACACACACACACACACACACACACACACACACGCACATACGTGGTCAAGAACATGGAGTCATTTAGCAATGCTAGGACAAAATGAGTGGCTGTTCTTTGTTTCTTGAGTCCTGTTTATTTTGTCATATCTCCTTTTGGCTTTAGCATCCACATATCAGGGAGACCATGTGCTGTCTCTTTGTTCTTGGCTTACCTCGCTCAAAATAATTTGTTCTAGTTCCATCCATTTCCCTGCAAATGCCATTATTTTGTCCTTTCTAATGGCTGCATAATATTCCATTGTATATAAGTACCACAATTTTTGTATCCATTCATCAGTAATGGGGCATATGGGTTGTTTCCATATCTTGCCTATTGTCAACAGTGCTGCAATGAACATGGAGGTGCATGTGTCCTTGTATCCGGGTTCCAGTTGTTCAAGATAGATGACTAGACGTGGTATGGCTGGGTCATAAGGGAGGTCTATATTTAGCTTTCTGAGGACCCTCCAGACTACTTTCCAAAGTGGTTGTATTAGTGTACCTTCCCACCAGCAGGGCAATAGGGTTTCTTTCTCCGCATCCCCTCCAGCATTTGTCATTGGCTGAATTTAGGGCCATTCTGACTGGGGTAAGGTGGTATCTTGGGGTTGTTTTTATTTGCATTTCCTTTACAGCCAGGGATAATGAACATTTCCTCATGTGTTTCTTTGCTATTTTTATCTCTTCTTCTGAGAAGTCTGTCTTTAGTTCCCTTGCCCATTTAGTAATTGGTTTGTTAGGTTTGGGAGCGATTAGTTTCTTGAGTTCCCTGTATATACTGGATATTAAGTCCTTGTCTGATATATTGCTGGTAAATACTTTTTCCCAATTAGTTGACTGTCTTTCTAGTTCGGTTGCTATGTCTTTAGCTGTGCAGAAACTTTTTATTTTAAGGTCGTCCCATTTGTCGAGACTCTCCAATTTGTTGTGACCCTGCGACTCTGTTCAGGAAGTTCCTGCCTGTGCTTATAAATTCAAGTGTCTCTCCTAACTCTGTCCTGCAGTAGTTTCAGAGTATCAGGTTTATGTTAAGGTCTTTAATCCATTTTGAGTTGATGTTAGTGTAGGGGTGACAGGCTAGGGTCCACTTTTAGTTTTCTGCATGTGGCTTTTGAGGGAAAATGGGGAGATATAACTTAAATCTCACTAGTGATGTTTTTTTTGTGAGACTTGGTGGATACTTTTTAAAATGTTTATTATTCAGTATATTTGTGTGTCAGTCAGTCTTGGGGATTGATCTCAAAGCCTGGGTACTGTCCTTGAGAATTTTGCTCAAGGCTGGTGCTGTACTACTTGAGCCACAGCTCTACTTCTGGCTCTGTGTGTGTGTGTGTGTGTGTGTTTTGCTGGTTAATTGGAAATCAGAGTCTCCTGGACTTTTCTGTTGGGGCTGGCTTCAAAACTTGATCCTCAAATCTCATCCTCCTGAGTAGCTAGCATGACAGTGTAAGCCACTAGTGCCCAGCATAATTCAGGTTTTTTTTACATTTCTCTTAAGTGCACTGTTGAAGTGTTTCTCATACTGTCTGAGGCTTATTTATTTTTTTGTGCCAGTCTAGGGCTTGAACTCAGAGCTTTTTCACTCGAAGCACTCTACCATTGGAGCCAGAGCTTCATGTCCAGTGTTTCAATGGTTGATTGGAGATAAGAGTCTTAAAGAATTTCTTGCCTGGACTGGTTTTGAAACATGATCCTCAGATCTCAGCCTCCTGAGTAGCTAGAATTATAAGAGCTGTTGCTGCTCACCAGTTACTTTATTACTACTTGTTCCATGTGAATGTGCTGACCCCTTTTCCTAGGTTCTAAGGGGAAGCAAAGAGACTTACTCAACTCTGCATGCAAGACTCTGAGCCTAACACCTAGCTCACTGCACTTGACATCCTAAAGCTGTCATTACTGACTTCTCTTTTGTATGTATATTGCACTGCTAATTGGGGCCAGGCTCTAAGTAAAATGTGAAATTGGCAAATAAAATTCAAAATGACCAAGAAAAGAAAAATACATGTCACTTTGTAGGAGAATGAACAATTTGTGCGTTTAGGATTCCTCAACCAATAACTTGCTGTAGGATCAAAGGACCAGGGTTGTTGCTGTTGTTATTTTGTGCTGCTATAGGATCTTGAACTCAGGGCTGAAGACCTCTTAATTTGCTTTTTCATTCAAAGCTGGCATTCTACCACTTGAGCCACATCTCCATTTCCAGGTTTTTCCCCCCCCTTCTGATTATTTGGAGATAAGGGTCTCACACATTTTTCTCCCCAGGGTGGCTTTGAACCATGATCCTCAGATCAACCTCCTGAGTAGCTAGGATTACA